CCTTCATATCATCGTACACATATCGTGTAATATTTTCTGAAATGAATGAATATTGACACGAAACTATATGATTAATTTCTGGAGAATTTATAATTTATTAAGAAAAGTGATTTATTGTTGATTTTTTTAAAGAAATCATATCTCCTGAAAAAAGATACATGTTTTTTTAATATGAGATATAATAATAATTATTATTATTAATTAATATGTGAAAATGAATATGTGATGTTGTGTGCTGCAGGCATTTTTAATTGAAGTACTAATTAATAAGCTTGAATAATTATTATGGTAAAGAAATAACTAAATAATTCAATGTTTTAAATTTTTATTATTTATTTAACATGATAGCTTTTAATTTGCTCTAATACTAGAATAAAGATAGAATATGTTAGAGACGAAAACGTTCCCTTAAAAGCGACTCAACTAAAAAAAGTTTTTCGGAACAGAAGAAAAACTTTTTCAACTTAAAAAAAATTTTTCAATCTAACAGAAAATTATAGACTAATCAAATGATATTGACAAAAAGAATATACTCTTAAAAATATCATCAAATCTCATGAATGAATGAATAAATGAATACTTTATTGATCCCCTCGAGGTTACAATTATATACAATATTAACAATAATACTCATTACATATTTATACGTAATAAATCATCACACAAATGTCATTTTTGTTATTTTCGTTTCATAACCCTTAAGGGGATGCTGGAATGACCAAATTACATATCACATTACAGTCGTATAAAAATCTTCGAATTGACTAAACGGAATAAAAAATCCTTTTATAGGATTAAAGTAGATGCAAAATTAGGAGGTGGTGCAGCGGATTTTATACTAAAACCGAAAGAATGTTAAAAAATTTTTTAACTTTTTTTCGATTTTAGCACAAGGTTCACTGCACCTCTTAATTTTGCGGCTACTTTAATCCTGTAAAAGAATTTTTTATTCCGTTCAGTCAATTCGAAGATTTTTATACGACTGTAATGTGATAATTTGGTCACTCCAGCACTCCCTTAAGAATACCTTTTCTGAGCTATGACAATTTTGATATCGTACAAATTGTAACAAATTCACAATAATTAATGAAAAGTGACATAATAGTTTATATTGCTAATAGTTATATTTACCTTGATCAGCTAAAATGATTAAATTTAAAATGAAACATTTTTTTTTTAAACTTTGATCACCAAAACTGTTTTAACTCTAAATGTTGTCTCTAGAAGATTCTCCGTTTTATTTACAAAAACACGACAAATCAAAATGTGTTACGTTCGTAAACAGTATATTATGATCTCTTTGAAAATCTTAAGAACGACACAAGTGCTATTTGGCAGAAGTTAATTTACTTTTCATGATTAACAGAGTAATCTTTACCTAACTTATTCACGGTAATAATTCGAAAATCACATTTTTTAAATTGTATCACTTTTAAAATAATGGAACGAAAACATTAATCTTCGTAAAGATCACATTCTTTTAACAAATGTTTTTAGTAACGATCTTTTGTATATACGATTATACTTTATTTTGCACCGAGTTTACTTCTTCGAGTTCAATTTTTGGATTAATTTTTGACATCAACGGATGAATATTCGCGATATTTGCACATGATTATTGACGCGACGAAATTATTAGCGAATCTTACTTGCAGATATTTTACATTTAAAAGCATGAAACTTCACTTGTTCTGTACAAGATCAAAGGATTACTCTTAACAAATTTCGCTTTAGTGCGCATTTTGTTCTCATCTTTTTTCATAATGCTCCAGTTTCAACTATTGGTTATCGGCTATTGAATGTTCAATGGAACCGCTGTCAGTTGTCTGAAAATGTTAGACAAGTAGGTGAAGTTAAATAAAGAAAATGGCAGATATATATATATATATATATATAGGTAAAAGCACATTTATTATATATTATGCGTATATTTTCTTTTTAAACATCTAACCGAAATATGTAAAAGAGTTAAGAAAATTTATTATATCTATCTAAAATATTCAATGGTCTATAATTTCAATAATATTTGAATGATATGTCTTATTGGAAATTAAAATAATTTATTTCAAAAGTTTAATTTCATGGTATACCTTCTGTAATTTCAGAAATTTGCATATGTATTGCAGACGTATTGCTCATAGTTGCAATTGAAATGAGCTTGTCGGAAACGGATATATAAAACATAAATAAAAATAAAATCAGGAAGGAGAGAGGAAAAAGAAGGAAAAGAGAATGTATAAACGACCTATCTGTTCCTGACGTGTATCAAGCCTCAGGCGCGTTTGCTGACACTTAATTGGCCAATCCTTCCGCATACATAGGTCACGTTTTCGCGTGCCCTGCCGTGATCCCGTTTATTCTGTATCGTGCGCATAAATATCGCGCGTTAGATTCGTAAAAGGATGACTTACAGTGGTCCGCCTGTCCATACACTGGCGCCTAAGTGGTAAACTTGTAAGTGGCGAAATAAAGTTGGGCGGGGGTTCCGCGTGCGCGCGCGCACGCTACCGTGTCTGTGACAGTTTAATTAATATCTTTCATCCTCAAAGGAAAAACTTGGCGAACTAACCGGCATAGACCCAGTTGCAATGCCGGGCCGGACTGGAACCACTTCAACTTCGGACGCAACGACGACGTCGTCGACAATCCCCCGCCAACCAGGACGCCGGCTCCATTCTTCTCTCGCTCTCGTTTACGTCTCTTGTCTCGCAACTACTCTGATAAAGTTCTATATACCTTTCTTCCTTTTTCCTTTATGTTATGGACGTTTTTGCGCTTTATCACTACCAAACTGTAAGATACGCGCGACTGAGTATTTTCACGTGACAAAATTTTGCTCGCAAAAAATATATTAATCGTAGGAATGGAGAGATATATTTTAATCGTATTTGCAAGATACTGAAGAATACAATGGATATTTTTTATATTGTATTAATTATAATATTTTTCATACAGTATTATTAAATATAGTATTATTTTTACATGGAATATAAAATGCTTATATTGCATACAATATAAATGTGTATGTCTGTATGTGTGCTCGTATTTTTACAATTTTTAATACAGTATCGACAGTTAAAAAGAAGTATTATGTACTTCCGTTTTGACACACGTACATTTTCTGACCGCGTATCTCTGAATGTACCGACGATTAACTTTATAAAATATCGCGAGAGTGATAATGTGCTCCCGGCTGTAGAAACCGCGAAAGAGGGGAAAAAAATGAAGGTGATCTGATGAGTTTGTAAGCCACGCTTTCTGAACAATCCGTGAAAATAAACGTGCGTGAAATCTGCATGCATCGAGTTTACTCTGCAAACTCACTGCACTGCCATGTCCAACGTCATTATACCTTTCGAAATATTTTACGAGCTGTAGTAGTTCATGTGACACGTATATTTCCTCATTAAATTAAAGTATTTCAGTTTAAGTTGCTAATTACGGTTTTCATGAATTATTCAGGAGATCATTGCACGATCAAAAATGAAACGAGGAATCCTTTGATGAATTTGCGAAAAGCTAATTGTACTGTCCAGTTGTTAACAAATACGAACAATGAAATTGCATTTCACATTATATTTGTAGTAATACGTGAAAGTATTTTATCTCTAATTGTTGACATTTATTGCGTACAATTTCACGGAAAGCTCTGAAAAAGCATTTAATAAGTAGTAAATTTTTTTGTGACTGTACTGCGACAAAAATTAAATTACTCTCGGTTTCCTATTTGTTTAAACGAAAGTCTGCTTTAAGCTATTTAAGTCACGCTTTCGTGTGTCGGAATGAAATTTGCGCGAGAAAATTTTTCTCCTTTTCTTCGCCGAACATTATCGGGCTTTATGATAAAGGCAGACAACGTATCGCCTGCGCAACACCGTATAAATCTACCCACGTATAGATAATATTTCACAATGCATTATTCAGATTTTTGCACAAAGCTTTATATGCTCCGCGGGGAAACCCTTCAGACGTCGCGGAGTGGATACCGGCTTGTGTAGCAAACACGTGACGTTACGGCATCTCTTTACCACTTGGCACGCAACGAGAAGTGATTCCTTTTACTCCGATTATTGCCAGTCAAATATTACGATAGTCGATGCGATCATCGACACGAGAGAAACACGCGATCTTATCAAATAATTGAAAAACCGCCTGACGCATTTTAAAGAAGATATAACCTTCATATTACCGTGATCAAATTGATCATTCCTAAGAAATGAAATTAGAGAGAGAGAAAGAGAGAGAGAGAGGATTCGCACGTTTAAATTAAATGTTGAGGAAATAATTCTTCTTTCCTTTATATCTCTTAAAAGCTTGACATACTTATATAAAATTATCACAATGAAGTATCTTATTTTACGTGAATTAAATTTTAATAACGATCGTAAAAGAATTAATAAATGTTTAAAAAATTCTAAATTATCTGTTATTGAAAATTTAATTGATCGAACAGTATGGCAGTTGTCGCAATGTAATTTTAGCGAACGAATAAATATTAATTTATTAAACATTAAATATGAGTCAAAATAAATTTTGTTTTTAGATAGATCTATGTAAACCAAACATTTGTTAAAACAATAATAATATTTTATTTCCTTCTTTTACATACCAAATTAATTTCAATTAGCATATTATGTTAAATAACGAAAGAAAATTTATATTCGCGTGAAATACAAATTTATATAGGACACAGTCTCGTATAAAGAATAGTCTTGCGACCTTTGTTGTATTTTAAATTAAAAGATATTAGATATTCAAAGATGGGACCCTCCGAACGTTTACCAATGTTTACGGAAGGGACCGGGAATAAAAGATACTTGAAGTGACGAGTGTCCTTTATTTTCCCGACGGTAATATGGGATATTTGCTCGCTCGCATTCCTCGGCACGTGCCATTAACGCCAACGAGAATTTTCGCGCGATCTCCTCTGTGCGACGCGGAGAAGCAAGAAAAAGAAAAACCAGTCGGCAATATGCAGATGAGTATATACGGGTATGTACCTGATAGCGTCGGATTCGTCGCGGACGAGGAGCCGTCTTGGCGCATGGCGTCACTGGTAATTGCCGTTCCGCCGAGATTGGTGCTGTAGTCTTCGAGAAGTACGCAGCACAGTAATAGCCGTGCCACCCTCATTCTGAAAGAACGAAAGAAAAGCTGAACGAGAATAACAAACCCACGTTCTTTGTTAACTCGCGTTTCCTCTCTATCCCTCCCCCCCTCTCTCTCTCTCTCTATCTCTGCATCTTGAATTTCACAAACTACAAAAAGGTACGAAGAAATTTCCCGATATTTATTGCCTTTGGATACGATTAACCCGCGGTAATTGTTATGAGGTGTAATGTATATGACGCGAAATATTTTGATACATTTTGATTAATACTCTAACTGTACAATAATTAATTAATTAATTAATTAATCATACAAAGTGAATCGAAGCCGAATAACGATAATAGCATACTCGCGAAATGTTTGCAAATTATTCCAAAATGTTTAAATGTGTTAATACAAGCAACGGTTATTTAAAGATGTATTAAAATGCACAGTGTTTTATATCACGCACATTATGTTTTCGAAACATTGCAACTTTAATTACGATTATTATAGTTCATTTTATCAGCAGTGAATGATATAGAAATGTTTCCAAAATTATTGGAAATGTTAGAGAAGCTTTCGTATTTTCATGTTCCACGTATAGCTTGAAAAATATTTTGTCCGCTACTATATCGATTTGCACGTCAAAAAGCCAATTTTGGAAAAGCTAAACATTTTATTGATGATGATACTTGAAAAAGCTCAGTTTTGAAAATCTCACTGAAATAGTATATCTCGCGTATTTCACTATATCTCATAGTGTCTCGCTATGTCTTCTTATTTCTACGTGTCGTTGAAGTTTATAATATATTATAACTGTAATTTTTCGCGAATTTTAAATAAAATATGTAAATGAGTGGACAGGGAAAAAAATATAATTTAAAATTAATATTAAGGGACTAATTATAATCTGATCTTAATATTTATTTATTAATTTAAGATACAGAATTTTTTCCCTATCCACATTTTTTAATGAAATCTCTCAGGAAAATATTAATCCTAGAATCATAAATTATTGTAAACTTCACGACGTACGATGATTAAGCTATTAGGAAAAATGAAAATATAATATTAATGATCAACATTTTCACTGTACCGTGATATAACAACGAAAAAGGAAGAAAGAGAATTAGTGTCAGAGACGGAAATAATCTGGAGATTAAAAGTATGGGACGATTTATAACGAACTACACGACGTATAAAACTAAAAACTATACACTAAACTGAAGTAAAGAGAGGTAAACGGCTCACTTAATCGGCCGTGCCTATCGCGAGAAAACGAAGCTTTCCGGGAGTGAGGCCACCCCTACATAGCCACCCTCGAACCGCCGAAGGCGGTGGGCGAACCAGTTAACGTGTTGTGAGAACTTTCCTCTCGTTCACGCCGAGCCGTACCCTTTTTCTTCCTTTCGTGTCTCTTGGTTTTTTTTTGTCGTTTTCGAGTGTGCTTCTCCTTGTCTCCTTTCTCGATCGATACATTTGTCAAGCGACGTATAAACGCCGCTAAGTTCACGGCAATTCCACGGTAATGTACGAGGAGACCGTCAAAGTGTTTTGCTGGACTTGGGTCGTACATCCTGGGACGTCGCCCTTCGGGGAAACACGCGCAGGACAACTATCCTTTACGCCATCTCGTAAATAACTATCACGGCTGTTTAGTGGCAGAGATTTCAGTCCGCATACGATGTGGAATTTAGCTCTCCTCTTCGTCGCACTTATACGCCGCACTTATACGCCGAGTAACTACTCATTCTTATTTATGACAGGACCGAATGAAAACCCATCTCGGTTTTGTCTTGCACCAACAACGTTCTCGTTACCCCTCTTTTACCGAGGCTATCCCTTTTTTCTCTCACTCACCGGCACTCCACCGTTCTTCTCTTGGCACGCCAATGTCAGATTATGAGCTCTTTGTCCCATCACGCTTACGTGTGATCGATGGTCCTTGCGGGCCGAGACGAAGGGAAAGATTTACCGACGAAAGCGCCGTGATTTTTTGAGAGATTGAGGTCAAGAGAGGTATACTCGAGATATTATATCTCTCTGATTACTTTTGTCACTTTTGTATCGCGCGAAAATACTTTCATTTTTGAGCATCACCACGGGATATTCCCGTCATCACCACCGTCGCCTTCTTCGGCTCTTAATTTCGGTCTCACTTCCCGACTGATACTCTCTTCCTTGGGGTTCTTTTACCTCTCGGGTCTTTAGAAGCAGCTTCTCCTCTTGCAATTTTATCTGATGGAAGCCAAGGGAAAAATCCGGTGCCAAGCTGTTGAGCTCGAGTTTAGCTCTCCGGCCGAGCGAAAATATCCCTGGCGTTCGGTTATCTGCACGTAAAAAAACAAATATTGCTGATCGAGATTTTATTTCCATCTCTGACTTACGATCTCTGTTGCACTTTCTCGCGTTCTCGATTTTAATCCTCGGCGGCACATCGTAAAGTAAAATCTTGACGTATCGATCGCGATCGATCTTGTGTGATAAATTCAGACGTCTTCTTGTACCAGACTTGTCGGAGGCATCTACTCTTTTTGTTCCTTCCTTTTATTTTATGAATCCGACGATACGGAGTACTTTCGCGTTCCATCTGAGGATCGCACATATATCTTCGCGGCATCTCAATTCGATAAGATACGGGGGAGAGAAATCCGGAACCGCACGCCCCGAAGAGACGCTTGATTTATTCGAGCACAGCGAAAATCTTTTATTCCTCAATTATCGTCGCGTGAAAATATTTTAATCCATCCCTCGGAGTTTAATTCTCGCTCCATTTCCGCTGCTGTAATTTCCACGGCTCGATTTCTCTTTGTCTCTCTCTCTCTCTCTCTCTCTCTCTCTCTCTCTCTCTCCCCTCTCCTCCCTTCCTCTCCCTCTCCCCTCTCCTCTTATTGAAAATATTTTTCCTATCCACCCTTCGGATGCCTCGTGTCTCTTCGATTGGATGCATTATTCTCATACGCCTTTATTGAATTTATTATCCTGGCTCATCATTACTCACTGCATTACCGGAATCGCTTCTATCGTTTAATCCCGATTTACTTTCTCTTTCTCTCATTTGCTTATTTCTGTCGTCGTAATATCCGACGCCACCTACAAGGGTAATTTTCTTATAAAGCGCAAAGTAAAAGCGTGCACCTATATAAATCTGATTTTCATTATTACTGCGAGCCACTCACTGCGGAGGGATTGACAACGTGATCTTCTAATAAAGAAAATCTTGCCTGCACAAGTAGAATTCCATAATTCTACTGGCACTTTACTCTTTTAGACACGTTTACCACAGCACGGATGTTTACCCGCAAACAATCGCCACAGGAAAGAGTCAGGTGAATGTTACCGCTAAGCCGGAATACCAATCGGTCCTGCTGTACAGTAGCGTGATAGAAACCGCGTTCGGGAAAATGCTAAAATCCTAGAAACGCTAAACGAAAAACACGAACCCACGGAGATTTATACGCGACCAAATTTTCCTCCCGCGAACGTAAATTCACTCCTCGCTGTGGAATAATGACTGTGAAAGTTTCCTGTTCTCGTTTCACTGCGGGAATTTCAGGATTTTCCGAAAAAGGATTAGTGCGAGCGAGAAGCAAGCGAGAAGCTCGGTACATACGTTTCTTCTAAGTCTTTTATTCAACACGTTAAAAAAAATAAAATTAAAGCTGAAGAGAGTGAAAAACAGTAAACAGTCATATCACAGCAGATGTTACTTTTATAAACAAATAAAATGATTCAAATAAAAAATATAATTATTAGAAAATAAAATGACAAGTTTTCCTAAAAATTTTATTTAAGAATTAAATATACGTATTTTGCCGTTTCTTGCAATACGTGTATATATAGATATATATATTTATTCTGATCATTTATTAGGAATTTAAAACATCGAGTTAAATCTATAGGCGTAGATACAATACAATAAAATTAGAATATACAAACTTGATTCTTTATGTTTTAATATAATATAATATAATTCAAATCGGATTTTGTCACATTAATTTGCTTGGATCAATAAAGTTTTATCTTTGATAAAATTCAAAGAAATAAAATTTTAAGTATCATTAATTCTTCAAAAATAAAATAACCACAATATGTATAATTTTATTCTCTCATATTCGTATAAAGTATGTATTAGGAAAAACTACCACTTTTAATTTTTCGTTTATATACATTTCTCTTTAATTTGGCTAAACTTTAAAATTCATATATGTCGTATTCTCGACGAACAGTTTATCGTTTCGTGTCATGATCAATACCAAGATTGGCAGAATACATAACGATCGTTATAAAATACGATGAAATTGCAACGTATACATGAAACACGCGGGAGACGCTAACCTAAAGTGACATTGATCCCTATCGCGCGAATAGAAAATATAAAAAGTGATATACGACGAAAGAATTTACTGGCGTCGTCAGCGGGCTTAAACTGTCATTCTCTAATAGGCGTTCTCTTCAGCCTGTCTTGTCGATTTCCAGTTCAACGAATTGATCGTGCTGGCCGAAAATCGTATCCAAGCTGAGTTAATCGCGTCTGAAACGACATTGCGGAAAAACTCCCAAGCGGCCGATCAATTTACCAGGAGACTTTATCTCGACAGCGTTCTCAATAATCTTTTTTTCTTATGATAATACACCTCCTCGTCAAATGGGGCAGATTTGATTTCGTCCCGCGCCAAGGAATCTCCGCGATCCGCGATCCCTCATACTGACGACGTTATATCACTCTGAAAGATTTATTCCAGCTATCGCCGTCGCACCAAATCGCTCTCTCCCTCTGGTTCTCCTCCATAAATGCGAAGAATAATTCCAGCACATAATACCACAGACGGACATATGTCTGCTTTATGAGTGACCGGCATTGTGCGCACATGGATTAATTCGGATATCACGCAAATCGTGCATAAACATCATTTCATCTGAATAGAATTGCTTTAAACGTTCTACGACGATAAATTCGCATAATCACGTTGCTATGCGACATTTAGTTTCTCATGAGGAAACATTAAATTGGAATTTCTATATGAAAGAAATATAGAAAT